TTGATCCACACTTATAGATATGCGTACGGAACTGAATGCCACATGCCAGCCTAAGAAACCCAAATCCTGAAAGGCCCAGGAAAGCCCTAAAGAGCCTGGGGACGACAGGATGACGACGGTTGCTCACAACTGCAGAGTGCGTGACGGAATGCTTAAAAGTTGAACTGCAGTGGAAAAATGCAGGTACGTGAGAGTGATCAGCTCTCATATCCCGTGCGTCAGGTAGCTTCGTTGGACATGGTCCCTGAACGCGCGCCATGTCCCCCTGCTTGAAAAAGTGAATCAGTCAAGCCAAGTTCAAAAGAATCCTTGTGACTACAAGGGGCACACACACACACACGCCTCCCCGAGGGGAGAACAATTAAGGCTAGCGCGAATGTGCAAATGTGCGCGCAGCAAAGACAAAAGGATGAAGACATGAGAAAGAGGACGAGACGGGACAAAAGTGTGTGTGAGTGCACAGGGACAACTGATGAACCCCACCTCATTGTCGAGACCTGGGCGACCTAAAACCTGAGTTTAAAAGTACATGTGCGCGTACAACCTAAGGCCCGAACCGTTGTGCGCGCAAGAGAAAGAAAGGAGTGAGATGAAAGGACATGAAGCAAGGGAAGACATGAAAAGAAAGAAGGAAAAGAAGTGTGTGAAGGGGAAAGGATGAAAAGGGGGGACGGGAACCGATGAAACCAGACCTCATTACAACGACCTAAGAAGACCTGCCAAGTGTGTACAATGTGTGCGCGCCTAAAAATCCGACAGGTTCCACTGAACCTTGAACAAACTTTGGTCGCTACGACCACGTACGGCTTGCCCGAGGGCTGCCACCTTTGGTCGCTACGGCCACGTTCAGGCATAAGCCAACTTGGAGTGCAATAATTCGACAAATCTTGGCAAATGACTTTGGCCTAAGCCTACTTTGCTCGCTGCGAGCTGCTTTGTATCCGGGCAGGGGATACGTTCGACAAACCCCCGTTCGACGGGTCCACGGGAGGCATTCTGCGGGCTCATCCCGGGCTCTCACCAGGAGAGACACACTTATAGATATGCATACGGAACTGAATGCCACATGCCACACGCCAGCCTAAGAAACCCAAATCCTGAAAGGTCCAGGAAAGCCCTAAAGAGCCTGGGGATCTTCAAAAGGAAGTGAGGCCAAAAACTCAAGTCGAGATCGGGACGACAGGATGACGACGGTCGCTCACAACTGCAGAGTGCATGACGGAAAGCTTAAAAGTTGAAATGCAGTGGAAAAATGCAGGTACGTGAGAGTGATCAGCTCTCATATCCCGTGCGTCAGGTAGCTTCGTTGGACATGGTCCCTGAACGCACGCCATGTCCCCCTGCTTGAAAAAGTGAATCAGTCAAGTCAAATTCAAAAGAATCCCTGTGACCACAAGGGGCACACGCACACATGTGTGTGCGTGTGTATATATATATATATTTATTTATACGGTTTGGCGTGGAAAGGTCGGTCCAGCCTGCATTTACACAAGGCCGGGAGATTGTATGAGAGGTTGAGGCGTCAGCCTGGAAAAGGATCACTAGCGGGTAGTTTGTATCATGATGAGTGAATGTGGACACCGGCACGTCCGAGGAATACATGGTTATGCCAGCATCAAAGACATGCTGAATTCAGATGGCATGCAGAGGTGGCATCACTTGCAGTTTGCACTTGCGAGGGTTAGTCAAAAGTCTGTGGCAGATTGGCCTGACGCAAGGTTAATGGGTGACAGCATTTTCTGCCTTGTGCCTCGTGGCCGCGCTGCGTGGTCGGTGCGCTTCTTTGAAGCCCTTTGGGCTGGCTGTGTGCCAGTACTGCTGTCGGACCGGGCGGTGCAGCTGTGCAACCACTTTTCACGTGTGTCCTTTTGGGTGTTTTTTTGCAGGATCATTATCAGCCGTCCTTCGACCAGCTGTTTGATGCGACACAGCCACTCGGCCAGACATCAGACGTGTTGCAGCTGGCCACACCCTGATTTCTGCCACAGGTTCGTCATCAAGTGGCCAGTGTCACGCATCGATGAGTCTTTGGTTTCCTTCTTGACCAGTCTGCCTTTGGATGTGGCCGAACGATACGCCGCCAACGCGCGCAACGTGCGATGCCACTTGGAAGGTGCTGAGAGAGGTGAGCACAGTGTTCCAGAATTTGAATTCCGTAGACCTATATAGGATGTTTGTGCATGAATTGGGCCGCCATGGAAGCCCACAGAGAGAAATGGAGAGAGGGAGAGGGGGTGCTGAGTCAATCGGATTTTGTTTGGTTTCACTCAGGTTGGTACCTTTATCCACCACCAGAGGTGTCGTGGATTGGCGACTGGCAGACGCGGTGGCTCAGCAGCAGTTCTGTTTTTGTTGGGCTCGAGTGTTGCTGAGCCAGTGTATCATGAATGATGACCGTGGTGTTTGCTCACCGCTGAAGGCATGAGCTGGAGGAGGTGGAGAAGCATGTCTGTCCCAACCTCTCCTCCTCGCGGAATGCCTTCCAGGCGGTCGTGGAGATCTTGGCTCGTCGCAAAGTGGCCAGCAGGGTCAGGCGGGGCGAGACTGATTGACTCACTTGATGACGCTTGCTCCCCTTGGGCCAGGCCCACCAAGCATGTTGATCGTGCCCAGTTTTTAGTGCTCTCAACCCCAATCGTTGATCCACGCCAGAAAGTGGTTCGGGATCGTGCCATGGCCAGCAGATTCCTTCAGGTTGCCATCGTTGTGTTGGCAAATGTCGGGATGGCCCTGAAGCACCTGAGTCCGGGAGCAGAGACGTGCCCCTGCATGAACGAGAGCTCCCATGATTGGACATTCTCCAGGAGGTTGCTAAAGGAGAAGGCCAACAATTCAAACTATGGCATGCTTGGCTGCGATTTCTACAACGCGGACGAGTTCCGCGATGACGAGTTCCCTAAGTCGTACAATCGAGCCTGGTGCTACGTCGACATCCACAAGTGCAAGCTGGTCAAGAAAAAATGTCAGAAAGATCCCGGCTCCCACAATCTCTATTGCAGAGAGCGGCCCACAACAGAGAGTGTCTACGTCACCAATGGGAGCCTACGCTACAGCTATGAGACCTGTGGCAACTTGGGGAGCTTTGAAGAGGGCAGCCGCTTCGGGAAGTGGCTCTCTGGCTTTCATATCCAGGCGGCCATTCGCCCGAGCGAGGGTCTTGCTGACCCTCAGCAAGGCTTGCTGGAGGAGCTTGCTGAGAAAGCGGTGGCCAGCTTGGCACAAACAAAGCCAATCAAAGACCAGCGAAACCTCAAAGCTGTCCCGGTTTTGGACAAACAGTTCAAAGGGAAGATGCAGTGGTGGACTAATCAGTCCAAAGAAATGGTTCAAAGCATGGGCAATGCAAGGGATGCTATGCCTGATACCTCGTATAGTTACTGCCTGCATGATGTGGCCATTGGGAATCTTGACCTTTGCGTTGTGGACACGTGGGTGACGCCAGAAAGAGCTTCCATCGTCTCGTTCTTGCCTCCTATCAGGTTTGATCACTTCTTCTTTGTAGAGAAGGTCGACGAGTTTGGCTGTTGGGCTTTTCTTCGTCCATTCACCCTAGGGGCCTGGTTGGAGATCATTGGTGTCTTTGGGTTTGCAGTTGCGCTTCACTTGATTGACAAAAGGGTCCGCGAGCGAGCATCAGCAGCAGCAACAACAAGAGATGTCACAGCAGACCATGATGACGCAGACCGCCGTGTCACAGACCAGGTGGACAGGGCAAGGCAGAGTTTTCGAGACGTCAGCCGCCAAGCCGCTCAGCTGCTAATTGGTGATCGAGCACCCAACAAATGGATGACTATTGGCTTTGCGTTCTATATGCTCATCGTTGGCACAACCTACACGGCAAAGCTTTTTGAGATCCTCGGGCAGAGGCATTCCGCTGGAAGCATTGGGGGGTTAGAGGGAGTGGTTGATGAGGTGGTTTGCGTCGACCAGCTTGCGTGGAAACAGATTGTCGAAGACCATCCGAAAGTGCACTTCCATCCAGTTCCAGACAGCCACAACATACCGCTCCTGCTTCGCAATGAAACATGCAAGGTGGCCATCATGCCCGAGTATTTGATCAACCTCATGCATGCCGGCAGCCTGCATCACTTTGTGGACGAGAATGGGAGAAAAGACAAAGGATGCAATCTGCAAGTCACCTCACCAGATGCATACTTGACCTTTGCAGTCAGCTTTCCAGTGAGCAACGTCCTGGCACACCCATTGTCGTGGGCCATGACGAAGGTGCTGAGCGAATCCGATGTGGGCATAAAGTTGAGACAAAATCTCCCGCCTGCATCGGGGTGTGGCAATGACGATGGAGAGCAGCTTGGATGGGGGGCCATGAGCGGGCCATTAACCCTCGCATCTCTTTTGATGCTGTTTGGGTTTTGTCTGGCCCATAGTTGGCTGATAGTTGTTCGCAGGTAGCTGCCCAAGGGAGGGGGAATTCGTGCAGCGAAACAGGAAGCCTAAGTGCTTTAAACATCTTTAAACAAATGCATCAGTTGCATGGTTTAGGAAGCAGGAAGTCTAAGTGCTTCAACCAGTTGCATGGTTACAGTATGAGCTACCAGCTAGCTTTCGGGCAAGCTTGGCCTTTAGCCAGGAGTTTCAAGCCTTGTCTAGACTCATGCCATGGCTGAGCCGGCGGAGCCACATGCAGTATCCGTTCAGGTTGGACCACGCTGTCGAAGCCAAAGATGAAAGGGTGCGGACTTTTCAGATCATGTCATCTAATCCAGATGCAACGGAGCTCCAGCAGGTTTAGAACACCATACACCATAGCAAGTTTGGCTCTCTGCCCAGAGGCCTGAAGCCTTCTACATCCCGAACCCTGATCAGAACTTCGAAGCCGCCGTTGTGGATGATCGATTGCAACCCATTTGAGCAAAAAAGAGTGCCAAGACAAACCCGTTGTGCAAGAATTGAAAGATTGCAAAGTTTGTCAACTCTTCTTCGCAGGTTTCAGAGTATGAGTTGGTCATAATTTTGAAACCGTCTGAACGAAGCTTTGCCAGGCGAGGCCTGTCAGCAAAGTTGTGCAACTGCTTCAGAGCATGAAGGCTATGGGGCGACTGCCGTGCACACATTGTTTTTGCTTTTTAGACCTTTCCGAAGTTTTGTGGGCAGCCGCCATGCAGGTGCAGCTGGAGACTGAAGCAGCCGAGGAGGCAGAGCTGATGGAGAAGCACACCTGTTGGTGCAAGGAGCGGGGCTGCGTCCATTCTTGGGCATTTATGAAGCTCAGCTGTGTCAAGTAGGACGATGTGAGACTAGTGACTAGGGACTCCTGGCCTTACTACAAGGAGCAAGGACGCTACTAGGGGCTCCTGGCATCGATACTAGGAGCAAGAAGCTACTAGGGGCTGTGAGAGCACATTTCTGAGATTCAGAGATTCATCCGGTGACAGTACGGAAGAGCAACAGACCATAGACCACTAGCGGCGCAGGAGAATGGGGAAGCCAAGGAGAAGGCACCGGGTGGGCCGGTTGGAGGGCAAAAATGACACTTCCTAGAAAGGAGATGAGCCGAAAATACTCTTTTGCAGATCAACATGGGCGGGGTTATAAAGGAAAGGTCTTCCACCACGGGTCAATTCTCAGGGTTCATGTTAGTCTGTTAGTCTCCAGGGGTTTATATAAATGCATTTATATAAATGCTAGATGATGCTAGATGCTGCTAGATGACTTTTTTCAGCTGAATCATCAACCAGGCGATTCTCGAGGCGCAGGCCCACATCGAGGCCCGAGACGAAGCATGTTTCGCTGTGTGTGCGTGGGTGCCAAAATGATGCTGCAACAGAAGCCTCAATGGCTCTGCTCTTGCTTTAGAGCTTTAGCAAAGACCCCTGACTACCAGGCTCGCTGCCAGGCGCACCCAGAACGCTGCCGACCCCTCTGCGCCAGGAATGGGAGGGCCGCATCACCGAGCTCGAAGCGATTAGTTCACGCCTGGAAACGGAAATTTCGACCCTGTCGGCTGCTGAGCACCACTGGAAGTAATGGGTGTAGCTTGCAGATGCCTAGTTGGTGTGATTGGAAGTCACACCTTTTTGTTTTTGGGTCAACCCTTGCTTTGGAGAGACATAGTGCGGCATTTTTGCGCACCAATGCAGTCTTGCCACATGAATGGTGAATGGATCTAGCACTTGTTGTTTGAGGCAAGAAGAGGTCGACAAGAACCAGGCTTCCTTTGATGAATCGGTTGGGCTTCGCAAGAAAGAAGCGACTTGCCTGCAAGGCTCAGTCATTTCAGGAAAGGAGGGGGGGTCGCCAAGTCCGAACACCTTTGGACAACGAGGAAACAATGGACTGCCAGGTGATCAAGTTCCAGGAAGAAGAGACAGAGCTTTTGAGTAGCCTGGGCGCAGTGTTCACCTGAGATGACAGAGCGGCAATGCATTTTTTACAACTACTTATATATTACACACACACACATATATATATATATTATATAATGATGTGATAATATAGGTCGGTAGATTGATTGGAGATATTGGAGATACTTTAAGGAAACAACATGTGATTGAGTTGGAATTTACTTCTGGCGCTTGTGGCAGAGACAGGCACGCACACACACACAAGCACATTTTGGTGTAACACTGCAGATCGTGCAGTTGTTTATCCGAGAATTCAGTGCTCAGAGCTTTCAACGACATTGAATCTGGGGGCCACAATTCAGGACAATGCAAGAAAATGGACGCAGGGCGAGATCAGGTTGCTCATCAGCTCCCTGTACTCCTGCTAGCAATTACCGTGTTCTTCAGAAAGTTTGGTTTCTGAATCCGAGGTCATCATGTATGAGCACATTTGAGTGAACATGCTAAAAGACCCTGAGAATGAAAATGCAAAAACTGCACGCCCCATCCCAGAGAGACCACTCAGAGTACCAATTGGGAGTTGTTTCCAATTTCGCTTCTGTGGCTGGATGCTCGCAACGCCGGGGCCTTGAATAGTTGCGGCCCCCATGCGGCGACGACGAAACTATGGAATCCCCATTTATGGATTGCTGGTGCTTGGTTTGTTGGCGCCAGCCTCATTGAGCCCCAAGCGTGCGCTGGAAAAGCTCGGCAAGTGGACCAATCAGGTGCGGGATTTGACCCGGAAGCCAGGGCGAAGCACAATTCTTTGAACAGGCTTCAACCAGACGCTACTGTATATATATTTTATATATATATATATATATATATCCAGACGGGTTTGCTCAAGACTGTGAGTGTGTTAATTTCACATGTACATTCATACGCTATTCGCGCATTTTTTTGAGCATCCGTTTCCGGAATTTAGCGCGGTATTTACGCGTATTTACCGCGCATGTTTTCGTCGGTCGATGTAAAACACACTGTAATTACGACTTCAGAACTGTGCCATGATTCCGAGGGTTTTGGTCGGATGGTACGTTAACGTTCTGCTCAATTTGCACACCCATACAGAAGAAACCCTTCTACGTTGCTACACAATGCGAGTGACTGAGTGTGGGGTGGGGGTGGGGTGGGGTGGGTTCAAATTACACACTCATACATAAGAAACTCTTCTACGTTTACCAGTGGTGGCTTCGGACCTCGTACCCAGATACCGAAGAGCGTCGACAAAAGCTCTACTCTACGCGCGCTGGGAAACGTGTGCTGCGTCTTGAAAGTGCGCTGGCTGGCCCTCGGTCCAACGGTCGACGTCGAGCCGAGCCGACGATCGAACGGAAAGAAGATGAAAGAAGGCTCCCCCCAAACAATGAGCTCCTGAGGTCCTGGTCTAAAAGCCCAAATGCTCCATGTATGAACTGTTGTGCATCATTGAGGTGGTTCACCTGGGGTCCATGTAGGTCAATCTTCCACACATGGAGTGTCTGAGAGTCTGAGATCGGTGTCCGTTCTCCATGTTGCCCAAAAGAAATGTTGTGTGTCATCAAAAAAACGTGAAAGCGTTAAAAGATGTGGTGATTTTCACAAGCGTGTCACAGTCTTAAGTCAGCCCGTCGGGATATATATATATATATATGTTGTATCGGACGAAGGCAAGCAAGGATGACGGACATGTCTCAGTTTTCTCACCAGAACAAAGGAAGGCCGTTTGACGGCAGGTCCGACGTTCCTCCCCTTGTCAGGCGGTCTCCGCGGTGGGCCGCACGGTGCTGCGCTCCGAGGAGATGAACGTGGCGGGGCTCAGCGGCGTGGAGCCCGACGGCGCCACGGGGGGGCTCTCGGCGCTGGCGCTGGGTGTGGTGGGCAACGCGGCCCTGGTGGCGCTGCTCTTCCGGTCCGTGGAGCGCTTGAGGAGGAACCACCCTCTCCACGAAGGGAACCTGCTGCGAGAGACCTGGGTGCCATGGGGTTCCCAGGAAATGTTGGCACAGAAGTGGGGCTGGCTTCGTGCCGCGATGTCTTTGAACACCGATGATGTAGAGGCAGCCGCAGGCCTTGATGCAGCCATGATGGTGGAGTTTGCGGACTTGTCCATGCAAGTGTTGTCGATCATCGGCTTGCCGCTCATTTGCATCCTCTGCCCCCTCCATTTCTTTTGTGGCGGCAGTATTGATCAAGATGATCCGCTCAGCTGGATTGGGATGGCCAATGTTGAGTCAGGGAGCTGGCTGTGTTGGGTTCACAGCGGCATTGTTTGGTTTGTGGTCATCGTGGTCCAGCATTCTCTGAAAAGAGCACAGGTCGGGCCTGGGCATGATGCAACATGTCGTGCAGGATGGCACAATGCACACTTTCCAGAAAGAGTATATACTTGCAGATTTCAGCCTCTCCTTGCATTTCAGGGTGCACTTGTTTTCTTGAGATGTTTTAAGACTAGACTACTTGTAAATCCTCCTTAAGACTGTCCACTTTGCAGGCGTCATTCGTTGGGAGGCGTGTCCAGTGGCTTCGCCGCATGCCACCACCAAGATGCAAGACAATACTGGTTGAGCATATCCCTCCTGAGCACTGTTCCGACAGCGGGCTGATCGCATATTTCAACTCGGTCTTTGGTCGAGAGGTGGTCGAAACTGCTCACGTCACACGCAACACTCGGGGTCTCCGGTGGCATTTGTCCATGGTTCGGCGTGCGGAGGAGCAATTGGAGGAGGCCACGGAGAAGTTTGAAGAGACCGGGGAACGGCCACGCGCTTTTTTCCCACAGAGCCCGTGTCGTCCGGCCACAGCGGATCACATCATGTTGGAAAGTCCTGTGAGTGGCGAGGTCTGCGATGTCATCGAGCATTGGGCCCAGGAGCTCCAAACCGAACGTTCGGCCTTGCATGATGAACGCTGGCGATTGGGTCTTTGTGGTGCTGGAGAGCCCGACTTTGCCAGTGGTGCCTACACCACCAATGGCTTTGTGACGTTTCTGCAGCGGCGGGATGCGGAGATTGCCCTGCGCATGCAGTATAGGGCGCACGGGCTGCAGCCTCTTGGATGGCGACATTTTTCAGCATGTTTGAGCATGGTGTGTGTTTGTCGGGTGGTGACGGTGGTGTGTTCAGCATTCCTTGATTTGCCTAGGTTTGTCGTGTCTCCGCCTCCTGCACCTGAAGATGTTCGCTTCGAGGATTTGCAGAAACGAGAAATGGGCTTTGGAGATTTCCTGCTGGGCTACTCTTGCATTTTGTTTCTTTTTTGGGCCTTTGCACCCTTCATCGTTGCATTCTCCGCTGTGGCCCGGCTAGAGACGTTGCAAACCATCATGCCCAGCTTGCATGTGGTGGTGATCTTGTGGCCCGTGACGCGAGCCATTTGGGACGGTCTAGCCAGTGCCTTTGCGCTTGGGCTCTTCATGAGCCTCCTGCCCAATTGGCTGATGTTTATTTGCGAATGGCTCTTCGTGATGAAGTCTGGAAGGCAGTTGCAGCTGCAGCTTCAGACATGGTATTTTTACTTTTTGGTGGTCTTTGTGCTCATGGTCACAGCCATTGGATCCTCTTTGTTCTACACACTTTCGCGTTTGGTTGAGCATCCTGCCAAGATCTTCTCACTTTTGGCCAACACCTTGCCATACTCAACTCACTTCTACCTGAGCCACTTTGATTGCAATAGCGTGTTGGTTCCTGTTTGCCGTCACATTTTTCAGTTTAAACCTGGAGGTCTCTTCAGACTTGCGCCACGGTTGCGTTGAGGTTACTTCCCCTTGCAGTGGTCCGTGTATGCCATGGAAGCCACTCGCTACACCGTCGTGGTGAAGTACTTCGCGCTCAAGGCGCTCTGGGGCGCTGAGCGGGCCAAGGAGGCCTGCGAGCCAGAGGACCAGGCGAATTATGGCATCGGCGCGAGATCGGCGCGGATGGCGTTGCTGCTGGTCATGGCGCTCTTGTTTTGTAGTGGCCTGGCCAGCCCATTTTTAAACGGTTATGCTGGATGGTTTTAGGGCCACATGCATCGTCTCAAGATGTTTCAGCCAAGGTTTGTCTCCTTTGATTTGCGTTTTGGGCTTCATTTGCTTCTTTGTTTGCCGTGTGACCTACGCCTACTTGCTGGTTTATTCAGAGACCCCAAAGGCAGACACGGGCGGGACCTTCTGGTGTGCTCAGCTTAATCATGTGCAGCAGGGCCTTTTCATCTATGTCCTGCAGCTTGGCTAATTTCGGATGGTGTGGTCTTATTCTGACACAATCTGCAACCCCCTTGGCTCGAAAGCACTTGCTAGCTGCTAGCCACGTTGTTCCTTCTGAGGCTGATGACGGGTGTCTTATTGGACAAGTCGGACTCACTGGGGCCTCCCCTCATCACTTTCGCTTGCGGGGTCGCGCTCATGAAAAGCTACTTGCACTTCCGGCGCAGGCGCATTTTGGTTTCCATTTGGCTATATTGGGCTCGGCTTGTGCACTTCTTTTGCCATTATATTACGCTTATAGGAGTGCTTGTAGGTAATTTCTGTAGAATAGCGGTGCTCCATGGCATTGTTTGGCGCAACGTGCCAATTACTCGCTGCTAGTTGAGGCCGCTCAGCTGCTTAACGGCTTAACGGTTTGCGTTTTGACCGTTCGAACCGGCTGTGCCTGCAAATGCAGTTTGTCACCACCAGCGGTCACCAGCGCTCACCACACCATCCCCCACCACTCAGCATCGCCGGCACTCCCTATTTTCAACATGCCTAGTCACAAACCGAACATGGAGCGACATACTCGCTTCCAACAGAGTCATATTGTCGGATTTTTTTTTCTTCAAGAGTCTGAATGTTGGCAGGTTCCAGTGGCATGGCTTACCCTTCGAAGATCTCAGCCATGAGGATGAGAAGGTGCCTCAGAACTTGAAGTCGGGCATCACATATCGACAATCCGAACTTCAAGAAGTTGAGGGGAAAGAAGGGCAATCGGCCGGCCATTGGTGATGAGGTGAGGTGGCTGACCGGTACATTACTTGTGTACAGTTCCGTTTTGCCTGACCTTGGGCGTCCACAAGTTGTGGCGGATGGCCCAATGGACTTGGCTAAGATGTCATGGTGGGGCTTTGCAAAGCTTTCAATGGCAATTCTGGCCACCCTACCGTGATCATCCACAGTGGTTCTTTAACTCGCTTTCTTGTTTGCTCGAGTTTGCTCGACCTTCATGAAGCCTCATGGGCCTCATGGGTGCAGGAAAGATGTGTCCTGAATGCCGCAACTCGTAACGGTGAGCATTTGGAGTGACGCAGAGGTAAGCATCCGAGAGCACTGCGTTCCGTGCCAAGGTGGCTGCGGCGAACAAGGTTTTGAACACGAGCTCCTTCCTGCAAAAGCCTTCCTTACGAAGCCTCCAGATCCTCGCCAGGCTGAATCAGTTTTCTTTTTGGCTCAATGCCAGCGTGCCGGTGTGTCTCCAGGCACGCGGAGCATCTGAGTCCAAAGGCCAACAAGCAGCTCACTGCATTCTTACAAGATCCCAACTCAGGCAGGACAAAGATTGCCAAAGTGTTTAGTCATGATTCATGTCCAAGTGCTGAGACGAAGCTTTTTTGTGCTTGGAGAGGGCTCAGAAATGCTCAGAACATCTTGATTGAGAGAGGGCTTCGGGGCTGCTGAAATGTCGGGCCATGCCTAGCATTCTTCCTCTTTTGACTTGAAGACTCGAGCCAGGCTCTGTTCGGGGGGTTCTTGCTGGCTTGCGGATGGATTTCGAAAGCAGCCTCAAGGACAAGACCGATCATCAATTCATGGTCCCTACTACAGTACATAGTTAGTCGCCCTGTCGGGTCATCTTCCCAGGGAGGGCTTGGCTTGAGACACAGCCAGACTGCGAAGGACTTACGGGAGGCTGAGACAGAGAACAAGGCCGCATCTGAGAAGCTGGTTGCTGCGAAAGGAGCCTTGGCGCTGAAGCAGTGGACATTTCAACGTGTGTTTGGAAGTTTTGTAGGCACTTGGTCGGTTTTCCTATCCCTTGGTAGGGATTGCCACCAGCTGAGGAGAGGAGATTGAGTCCGCCAAAGAGCAGATTCAGTCGAAGAAGGAGAGCACAAGCTGCAGTGGTCGACTTCTGAAGGTTAAGAGTCTACAGTCCTTGTGACGAGGACGAAAAGGCAGCTGCAGATGAGGAACGGTTTCAAAAGAAGCAGGCCTCGCTTCGCGAATTTCTTGTGAAGTTCTTAATGTGAAAAGAGGGCCCATCACCACTTCATGGGCAGGATGTGAGAGACGCAACAAGCTCTAGAGATGAGGATATGGCATTTGCCAAGGAGGTGCCATGCGTATCCATGTGTGCCTCGGGCACTTGATGACACATTTTGAACAATTCCACCATTGCTGGTTGGATCGGTTTCCATGCGTTGGGGCATCCTGCTGCGAGCGTGCTTAGCTACTAGTGACGGCCTCCACCCGACTAGCGATTTTGCATCAGGTTTCGCCTGTTTGGCAATCCTTTCTGAAACAGCTGGCAGGTAAAGGAGAAGTGTGCCGCGAAGGAGAAGGAATGGGAAAAGCGGCAGCAGACCCGGGCTGACGAGACCCAGGCCACTGAGAGGTGTCACAGCCAGACTCCATGGTAAAAAGTGTCGAAGACGAGTACTCAATCTATGTCACTACCTGACTTATTTATATAGGCATCCACTCTGCTCGAATTTTGCAATCCAATGCTGCTCCAGGCGGTGTCTAAGGCTATTGAGGTCTTGGATTCAGACGCTTCCCACGAGCTTTTGGGTGAAACCGGCGCATTTTGTGTCGATGAGATTCGATCACAAATCCTTGATAGTGCGAAAAGAACCTGGAGGAAACCGACCTAGCCAAGGCCCGACATCATACGGTCGAAAGAACGATGAGACCCCTAAGACAATCACGGCCTGAGAGTTTTGGGTACCAACTCTATTGTCGCAACACTGAAATCTGAAAGCGTAGAACCCCAACCCTCTGCCACAAAACATGCTCATAAGAAACATGTAGGGACCCAAATGGGTGGTTCAGCCTTAAACATTTTACCGACTGCCGTGCCCTGTCAGATAAGGCTAACGACCCTTGGCATCTACAGTGTGGAGTCTAGAGTGCCTGCGAGTGAGTACAGTTGGAACGCTGACGAGAGCCGCTTTGGTTTGACTGCCACCGGAGCCAGGCAAAACCGTGAAGCCTTCCCTGCTTCAACTGGGAAGCGGGCAGCGCCTTCAGGCAGGGATCTATTAGAAGATTAGGCAGCAGCCCTGATGCTTTATTCACTGTTATTGACCCCTTTCAGAATCTACTCTGCTGGGTTTTAGCTTGGGCAAGGAGCGCCGGCAGCGACAGCACGCCTACGAAAGGCTGCGCTCTGCAGGGAAGGAGGAGCGCGAGAAGTTGGTGCTCGTGTGGCGTCGGCAAAGCATATGCCGCCAGGATTTGCGTTTGGTCACCCTCTCTTTGGAGCTCAAGCTGGATACTTTCAAGGAGGTGCTATCAGTGCAGCATTGAGAGATGTGGTTTGCAATGAATGCTTTTTGTCCTGTGACGTGACCGGCTTGTGGACTTGAAAAGCTGCCTGTTCAGGGATCAATTCAAGAAAGATTGTGCACCACATGAGTAACTATACATTTGACAGATAATGGTTTACAGTACTCAATCCTTCATCTCTAGCCATTCATACCGCAAAGGATGTTTGGATGTTTGGTCAAGGTGTCTCAACCCAAAATGCTAGAATGGCGGTGGGGCTGATAGAAGCAACAAGGGGCTTTGCTGCTTGCGGTGTGACACTGCCTGGTTCTCACCCACCTGGCGTGTCGATGTCCAAAATCAATGCGCGGCAACGGCCCGTGCCATGGCTTTGTATTGTGCTGTCGCAGCTATCAGGGCTTGTGGCACTCAAGGCCTGGTCGAAGCACGTGGACCGGTGGAAATGGATGCCGTCGATCCTCGAGCGGAACTGGTCCCATTCTGTGTGATTCCTTGGTGCCAGGCCTGGTGTTCGGCATACCCCCGTTGCGTTGCGCGCGCAAAAGTGTGCAGGCTTGGTCCGTGCTTTGGAGAGATGTTGGCCATGTTGGGAATATGTAGGTCAGGGACAGGGCGATTAGCAGAGAGTATGGTAGTATAAAATGCCTGTCCCCGTCCGTATATTTAAGGTGTCCCGGCCCCGTATGTTTAATTTGCAGGCCTGGGCCAGAGAGTTTTGGGGAGGTGGTGTTGTAGGCGTTTGGGCTCGAGCCTGCACGGGGCACGCTTGCGGTCTCTCCCCTGGGTGGGGAGGGGCACGGATCGAGCCATGGCAAGCCTAGTGGCTTCAAAGACGGTGATTTGCACATCATCCTGGAAGAGCGTTTGGAAGCGCACTCTTACTCCTGTGCGGACTGTCCTGTGGCAGCGGTCCTTTGCCCTGGTTGAAGCTGCACAACCCGATGGCCGGCATGTACTGGTGAAGATCTCTAACGATATTCTGCGGTACTTACAATCGGGACGAGTGACAACTTTCTTTACCTGGCAAAAGGGAGGATGCCAGCAATCTGGATTCCAACGCTATGACGAGTTGGAACACGAAGGTGATCCTTTCCTGATGTATGGGGAGCCACTTCCATCATCAAGGTCTTGTGACCCTTCTTACACCCCATTGCCAGAAGCGTTTGAGCCATGGGCGATTGCTTATGAACAGCATGACTCAGTCAGTGGCTATGGGCTCACGGAGGATACGGGCAATTCCATTGAGCCATGGATGTATATTCACCTTGGTAGTGCTGACAGATGCAAAGACGATACTACCCCATTTCCGTCAGGGGTCACTGGGCATGAGGAAAGGCTTGATCTGCAACGACATCCCACTCTTTTGTCCAGGAGGCTACACGCACCGCAGCCAACCAGGCAAGATGAACCTACACAGGAGCTCATGTTTCGACACTTTGAACATGAGCTAAACCGATTTTGCAAGAAGGCATTATGTGCAGAGAAGGTTGGAGTAACTGACCAGGAGTCCTTGCAAGCAGAACCATGGGCTGTTGGTGTGTGTAATACATCGAATACAAACAGTAAGCAGGATCCACATGCTGAGAACTTCGACTTTGAACCATGGCATGCACACCTTGTTCCAAAGGAGGTTCGTACGCCGTTTCCGCCTTTTGTACATCGGCAGTCAACTCAACAGGGGAAGACGGTTCATGATTATCCATTTTCATCCTGTTTGACTCCATGCATCGAGACCTGCTACTCATTCATGAAGTCCGTGTGTGATCCGGGGTGTTGGCATCCCAAAACTCCAGGATTTTCGCTCGATGGGGTGACAGGTGAAGAAAAACCGAAGGGTTCTGGTGCACTATATATGGCGGGGATTCGTCTTTGGAAGACTGTGTTTCGTTTCCTCGAGGCTGACGCACCATCAATAGCGCAATCCAGACGCATCTCCCCAGTCGACTGGAAAGTGGGCGCTTGTATTCTAAGTGATCGATATCAGCAGATAGGTCATTTATCCGATCGTCATAGGATTTCGTCAAGTCAGCATGCCCACCAGAGTCCCTCAAGTAGGGATAGCGCCCTATCTGACTTGGTCCGTTTCATCGAGACTTGCCCAAGCCCAAGTGTCTTCGATTTGCAGGGACATGGCGCACCAGTTTTGTCCGCAACCTTTGCTGAAACTCAGGCAGTTGGATTCCCAACTGGGCCAAAGGTTGTTCGAATTCATCCATGTTTTCATGAATGCATGCATAATCCAAATGAGCTGAACTCTCAGGTTTTGTCCACTTCATATCCATATCCGATAGCGTTTTTCAGCGCCTCAGCAGAGTCTTGGTCCACTGAAAGTCTAGCAGGTTGTACAGACCTTTTGAAAGCTGTACGAGATGACCTCATTCCTCCCTGCTTGACATGCACTTCCAGCCAAGATCATTCCCAACTCGCAGTTCGCTGTGTTCCTCAATACAGTCGACAATACCAGACAGATTCCGGTGACCTGCATTTGAATCCTGACTCGCGACTTTCGATGTTACCCTGGACCATGGCAACCGGTGACATCACAGAACAAGCGGCCCGGAGCTTTTCCTCTTTTGCCATCACAAATGAGCTATGCAGGTCACATTCACACTCAAAAATCCTCAGTGAGTGGTCGAGGATGAGACCTTTGCGACCCTTTTGGAAGCCAGTACCACCACATCGAACCTCATTGAGTGGGGCTGTACCCAATGACGACCATGAGTTTTTTCTCCATCCATGGGCTGGTCGATTTGGTGGCAGGACACTCCAGTTTCCACACGAATCTAGTACAGATAAGCTGTGTCGAGATCTTGTCCAAGATGCAGTGAGTTTGATCTTTGACATTTCATGGACCACCGATGTGTTCTCGCAATCCAATCAGGAGGGCATCATGATGAAGTTTCCGTGGACTTACTCTTTCCAAGCACCACGACGTCAAACCACATTTAGTGGGGCTGTACCCATTTGCAACCGTGATCCTTTTCATGTTGCAGAGGATGGTCCAAGTTGTTCATGGACATTGATGTCTCCATCAGACCTTCGAGTTAATCCGCAATGGTTTGTACAGAATGCACAAAAGTTGATCCGTGATCACATCTTGACAGAAGATTCTTTTGCCAGCATCGGTGATTGCTTTGCCTTGATGAAGCCTTGGCAACCTGGATTCGTTCAAGGACTACAACATCCGACTACATCCAGTGGGGCTGTACCCAGTTACAACCACGATGGTCCTCGCTATACACGCGATGACAAGTTGAGCTTGGTGTCCTTTCGGAAGCTAGTACCACAACATCGAACCACATTGAGTGGGGCTGTACCCAGTGACAACCATGAGTGTTTTCTCCATCCATGGGCTGATCGATTTGGTGGCAGGACACTCCAGTTTCCACATGAATCCAATGCACATAAGCTGTGTCGAGATCATGTCCAAGATGCAGTGAGTTTGATTTTTGACATTTCATGGACCAGCGATGTGTTCTCGCAATCCAATCAGGAGGGCATCATGACGAAGTCTCCGTGGACTTACTCTTTCCAAGCACCACGACGTCAAACCACATTTAGTGGGGCTGTACCCATTTGCAACCATGATCCTTTTCATGTTGCAGAGGATGGTCCAAGTTGGTCATGGACATTGATGTCCTCATCAGACCTTCGAGTTAATCCGCAATGGTTTGCACCGAATACACAAAGGTTGACCCGTGACCACATTTTGACAGAAAATTCTTTTGCCAGCATCGGCGGTCACTTTGCCTTGACAAAGCCTTGGCAATCCGGATTAGTTCAAGGACTACAACATCCGACTACATCTAGTGGGGCTGTACCCAGTTACAATTACGATTGTCCTCGCCATACACGTGACGACCAGTCGAGCTTGGTGTTTCCTCAGCTCCTGCCGGGGAATGTTGTTGCATTGTCACGACTTTGTTTGGTGCAAGGGGCGGTACAGCCTTTCATCGACATGTCATTCATGAAGAGAGCTTCTTTTAGAATCATGGACAAGATGAACACAAAGATGCAGGTGAAGCTACTTACGATGCCAAAACCACGACATCACACCACATTCAGTGGGGCTGTACCCGTGTACCACCGTTATACTCTTCGCCATGCATCTGGGCAACAAATGCTTCAGTCAGATACAGATGAAGCCAGAGCTCTCTGCATATCGATGTTACAGGAAGAACATTTTGACAAAGTGCGAACTGACGATGGTATATGGAGCATGATCTCCACAGATGATATTCGAAGTCAGATACTTGAAGAAAATTTCTGTCCGGTTCTTAGTGGTGGCACCATTTCATGGAGATCCACAAGAATGGTTGTACTAGGACCAAGACCAACCATTGGGGATAGGCTTGATTTTGCAAGAACAACAGAAGGCTGGCTTGCGTCGGACGAACTCTCTTTCGTTCTTGCCCGTATTGCCAGAGGACATGAGCATACACATTTCACGCCTATTGCCTTCTATAATCCAAACCAGAATGATTTTGCCTTTGAGACTGGTAGAATGCACATCCCCAACCGGGAACAACGATTGTCCCTGTTCTCATAGGTTGCCATTGGGTGGCTCTGGAGATCTTTAGAGATGTTAACCCACCGCAGGTTCTTCTTGTTCAGTCACCACCAGCATTTCGTGAAAGGCTCACTTTTTTCGCCAGCCATTTGCTCCATATTGCACCTCACAGACTCCTTGTCAATGTACAGGAGGATACGTCAGTCCCTGGACTTTGTGGATGGACGCTCATTTGGCGCTGGCTTCAACGTTTACATCGCACGGAGGCCTTTCGAAGTGTTGAGCGGGATTTTGCTCGTCTGTCGGCTGACAGGAAGCATCTTGTTAACCACGTCTTAGAGTCCTCCATTGCTGATTGGGGTAAGACTTCAGGTCCTGCAGATATCCAACATGTAGCATATATTGTGAGGCGGGCTTTCTTGATCGAACTCTTTCAGCAAGAGTCAGTCCACGCAATACTAGATAAACCGGGGATTTGTGCCGTTGGCCA